GGTTCCATGCACAGTTACTGTATTGTTATTAAAGTTGCACAATATTGTTGTTACAGTTACAGTGTTGTTACAACAGTTACAGTATTGTTACTACAGTTTACATTATTCTATGGTCAATCTAAAAAATATTGATAATGGAAAAACAATTTTAAAGCTAAAAAAATCATTTTTTCATAAACTTGTTATATAAAGTTTACTAATAAAATTCTCTAAAATAATTTCTCTTAAAAGCTTGATTCGGTTTTAACGCAATTTTCCAATTATTAGTTTTTGCATTTAGTACTTTTGTATATTAGCCCTTTTGTAACAGAATAAAAAAAAGTTAGTGATTTGTAACTATAAATTAATAAACAAAATAGTAATGTAAAATGAACATAAAAAAGTAACTTGAATTAAATTTATGAAAAAAAACTTTCTTTAACATAGTATAGAAATTTTTAAATAAATTTAAGTTGAATAAAGTAACTTGAATTTATTAATATTTATTATTAATAAATATAATTTATATATAATAAAATAAATTAAAATTAAATTTTTTAAAAACAACAAGTAGTAAAAAAATTTTTTTTTTTCTAATTAAGTTTTTTTTTTATAAAAAAAAAGAAAGAAATAATTTGTTTTTTTATATAAGAAAAAATTAATTATTTCATAAAATTATTTATAAAAGTACATAAAATTCAAATGGGGTAAGGCTTCTAACAAGGCCTAATATAGTTTCTGTTATATATAAAATTTTTTAATGAAGCAAATTAAAAAAGCATATCGTAAACAACTAGTTTAACGCTTCTTCAAAATTGAAATGGTTTTATGAAGTTTTAGTATATGCATTTTTTAAATTACATCCTGATGGTTTGTCAAACCTTGTTTTTCAAAACTCAATCAGTCAACCATTTGTTGTTGACTGGTTGAGTTTTGAATGGTAAGAATTTATTTTAGGAGGTCAAAATAGTAATCTTAGTCATTTTGGGTGGTCATTAACCACTGCCTGACCATTATTTTCCATGCTGAATATTAATTAATAATATAATGAATGTTAAAATACATAGTAAAAAGTAATAAAAATAAATAGGCACTTTTAATAAAATTGACGTGAATAATAAAAATAAGTAGGTACTTATAATAATAAGTACCTACTTTTAACATTAAATATTTGAATTAAGCTATAAAGAAAACTTTTGTATAAATGTTAAGAGGCATTGTCTGCAAGAGGCATTGTCTGCAAGAGTCAAGCAATTTTCAAAAAAATTAAAACATACTGTATGTCACTAATTTTGTTTCTTTTCATGTATTTGCTTTGAATAATTGATGAAACAGCAATATTTTTGGTTATTCCTTTAAAGTTGGAATAATTTACCAGATTACCCACTTTGCTCAAAAGCACATCATTTGTTTCAAAGTAGGTTTTCATATTGGTTATGGTTATATTGTCATATTCTGCTTCAATGATGAGTCATAAGTCTTTAGAACCCTAAAAGATTAATGGCCTCCTTTATTCCATCTTTAATTTAACTGCAGAGCATACTTTGCAAAATTGATTTAGAATGAGCATACCATGCTGATTTTTTAAGAGTGGGTAAAACAATATCTCCTGAGTTTGACATTTTATTAATTGCATTTTTTAAAAAAAATTTTAATTCACTCCAAACAAGGCTGCAAGCAACCACCATAAAGTTTGGAGCTAATCAAACAGGAGATACTCCAAAACTAAAATAAACCAAAAATTTGGGTATACTAGTTCAATACCGAAACCAACAGTTCCATCTAGGGCCATCCTGAAGAGATCTAAGGGGTGACATATCTGTTTTTTGCCAACCAAGACTTGAAAAAGAAAAAAGAAAAATAAGGTTCTTGTTGACTGACATTTGCCGACTACCAACTAAAGATCCAATTTTGCTGACTAATTTTTGAATAAAGTTTTCCTAGAGGGGTTAGACAGCTCTGTTTCCATCTTAATAAAAATTAATTAACACTCATAAATAAATAGTAAATAAAATAAAATTACTCTTGGAAAAATCTAAAAAAAAAAAAAAAAAATTAAAAGCTTACCTCCATGAAATATTCTTGTTCAATTCTATTTAAACTATTTATTTTAAACAAAATTCTATTTAAAATATATTTTTTTAAAAACAAAACATCAATGTAAGGTTTATAATATTATGCTCACTATGGTTTGATTATTTTTGGTTTTGATATTTTTAAGATGCAGATGGATACAAGCTATTTACTAAATTAAAGTAATTTGTGAACAATGGGCATAAAATTTCATTTAGAAATGGTAAAATCGTACAATATTGAAATTTAGGTTTTTGGCATGTTTTTCAATCGCAATTTTGTTTCTTACCAAATTTATAAAAAGTACCAAAACTGAAAGTTTGGTATTGGTGCAAATTGAAGTTTTGGCTAAAAGTGAAACAAAATTTTGGTCTATCACTGTGTGTGGAAAAAAGACTTTTTCTACATTACCATCTTCTAGGGTTAACTCTTACTTCCAATCTTTCTTGGAAACCCTATATCAAATCAATTGTAAAATAAGCCTCTGCTAAGGTTGTATCTCTTTATTGTGCTTGCCACTTTCTTACTCAGGATTCTATTCTATATCTTTATAAATCACAAATCCGTCTTTGTATGGAATACTGTTGCCATATCTGGGGTGGATCAATGATGGCCTTTCTTTTTTAGGCAAGATGCATAAGCACGTTGTAAACATAGTTAGACCTGCTCTTGCAGCCAACCTCCAACTATTGTCACATTGTTGTAATGTTGCTTCTATTTTCTTTTCTATAAATACTATAATAGGTGCTGCTCTAACTAGCGTCTCTTGTGCCATTTACTTAAAATTCATTCTCATGTTACTTGTCATTCAATTAAGTCTCATTCTTTTTCTGTTACTGTTCCTAAGTGCTCCAAAAACTCTTATTCGTCTAGTTTTTTTCCTCGAACATCAGTTTTTTGGAATTCGCTTCCTTCATCTTGTTTTCCTGATTCATATAATTTGCAATCTTTTAAGTCGTCTGTCAATCGTTATCTTGTAACTTCCAACTCTTGTAACTTCAGTAACTTCCAACTCTAATAGTGGTTGCTTGCAGCCTTGTTGGAAGTAAAGATGTCAAAAAAAGAAAAAGAAAAAAAAAAGGTATGCAAAAAGTTTAATGATGCTCAGATCTTTAATAATATTAGAAGGTAGATTAGTGGAGAGGCTTTAAAAGCTATAATAAACTTTAGATTAATTTTAAGGGTGGTAGCATTATTCAACATCTTACCAAGTGGGCCTGACCAATAATTGCCAGCTTTAGTAGGCTTCTTAACATTAATTCTGCTGTGTGTAGGTCGCATATAGACCATTCAGATTTCTTTTAAGTTTTTTTTAAACTATTGTATCACTCTTTCAAACCTCCAGTATTTACACTTTTACTATCACAACCTTTGGCTTTCAATGTCAAATGCAAACATTTTTCTTTAACCCGTAAATTTAAATGATCTTCAGTTATCTCTGCAGGTTTTTTTAAAATCTGATTCTTCAATAACAAAATTAAATTGACTCTTTTCAAATTTTATCTTGTACTTGCTTATTTACTACTTTTCTAGTTCTTGCTTATTTACTACTTTTCTTGTACTCGCTTAACTTTGTTTTGGCCAATAATAAATAAAAATAAAAATAAAAAACGAAATGTCCCAAAATGTTAGAAAAAAAAGGTCTGAATGATGCTGGTCTGTACAAAAAAGATGTTCCTGAAAAAATATTTTATAGTGGAATTGATGGTCAACTAACATCGAGTTCAACTGCTATTGGTAACTTTCCCTAGCATAGCTCAACTTTCAGAAGTATTAAGTGACTAGGGCTAAAAAAATGAATTAGTAAGTAACCGACCCTGGCTAAAAATTAAACTTTTTACAGCACCGGCAAAATTATAAGATTCAGCAGGGGTTGATAGCTGGGGTTAGGAAAAAATTTATAATACTTCATATATTATAACTTTATGCCTACATTTACTATTAAATACTGGCATATAAATATAAATTTTTAAACTAATTTACTCACAACAAGGTTACAATCAATCATTAAGTTAAGAGTTACTAGAAAACCAAGAATAGGGTTAAAAGAACAATGAAACAGTTAGCTGAAGACTTGTTGAAGAAAAGTTGTAGGTTGGATTAGTAATGAAAAAATAAAGATGGGCAAGAGTTTTGAGGTTTTGTTGATGTAAGAGGAAAAAAACTAGATGAATAAGAATTTTTTTAAATGATCCTATCTTCCTCATATATTTATTTAAAATATTTTTTTAATATTTGCTGAAAACTAGTTATCTATATATTTGATCTAAGTACCGCTAAAAACTAGTTATCTATATATTAAGTCTAAGACCAGAGTATTGATCAGAAAACCTGGGTACTACTCAGATCTGAGTTCTTAGTACAGTTGTTTTAATTAAAAAATGTTTCAAATGTTGAAGTGGATTTTATAACATTAATTACTTCTTTTATCTTACCTCCTGAAAGACATCTTTTAACTAATTTAAATATTAAAAAATGATAAAGTTACTTTACTGAAATCGCTTAAGGTGTATGTAAAATAATATGTGTATGTAAATTACCTAAATGTGTATGTAAATTACGGCTTGCAGTACCGCTTAAATCTGAGATCTTAACTTGTTATTTAGTGATGCAAATTTTGTTTTTATCAAGTATTTGTGTATTTATGTATTTGAGTTATGGCTTTTAAAGCTTTTTTATTGAATAAATATGATTGCATCCTATTTATTAAAAAATCAACAGTTAAAAAAAAATAAATAATAAATAACCTTAAACTGATCAAGGCATTTTGTTATATAGTTCAAACTACTTGTAGTAAAATTAATTAGCAGTGTTTTATAGCTCTGATAAGATTTTATAATATATTTTTTTGAATTTATTTTTTATGATATTTGATGTTTGATTTTTGTAATAAATGCATAATTTTACCATGTATTACACTTGTTAACAATTTAAAGTTTTGATTTAAGGTAAAAAACTTAATGGTGAAACTAAGTTAAAGATTTCAGATGTTCCACCTGTTTCTGTCTTACAAATGCAACCATTATCAAAAGTTAAAAATTATGTAAACCAAATAAACAGTGTCCAGTCTTCATGGAAAGCTTCTGTTTATGACCATTCAATACTTTCAGATATGGTAAACTGGAGAAGAGGTAGCTTAAGACAACTTCCTCGTATAAAACCAAGGTTTAAATTGATAAAATTTGAATTAATAAAAATTAATTAAATGATAAAGATTTTGAAAGAATTTAACTTATTAGCTTATTTTAAGTTTAACTTTTAAGTTTAACTTTTATTTTGAGTTTAACTTTTAAATTTAAGTTTTATTTTGAGTTTAACTTACTAACTTATAATAAAGATTTTGAAAGAGTTTTTCTTATTTTTTAAAAAAATTTTATCATTTAGAGAATTAACTGATGAAATGATGCTTATGTCCGAAAAATTACCTGTTAGTTTAGGCTGGAGAAATAAAGATGGTATAAACTATATTTCACCAATTAGAGATCAAGGTAATTGCGGAAGCTGCTATGCTTTTGCATCTATGGCTTTATTAGAAGCTGGTGTAAGAATATTATCTAACAACACATTAAAACCAGTATTTTCTGCTCAAAATATTGTTTCATGTTCACAGTATTCTCAAGGCTGTGAGGGTGGTAAGTTTTATTTTCTTTTGTTTTTAACATAGATATTGATATTGATAGTAATAAATATTATAAACGAGATCTATAAAATAAACAACCAAAAGTTTTACTAAATAAAAAACCTTATGTTTATTATGTTATGTTTATTAATTTTATGAATTTTAGAATTTGTTATCTATTATATACATGCATTATATATATATATATATATATATATATATATATATATATATATATATATATATATATATATATATATATATATATATATATATATATATATATATATATATATATATATATATATACATATGCATACAGCCCTCGGAATTAAAGTAGGCATTCAGCAATGCTGACCTAACTGTCAACCTTAAAGTGTTTAAGGTCAGCAAAAAATTGTTGACCTTATTTCTATGTTTTATGATAAGACCTTTATATCATTTTTTTATTGCCCACCTTAAAGATTAAGGTCGGCAAATTATTGCCGACCTCATTTATATATATATATATATATATATATATATATATATATATATATATATATATATATATATATATATATATATATATATATATATATATATATATATATGTATATATATATACTTAAAAACATATACAATAAATGTGTGGAGAAGAAACAAATTTCTTTTTTGTGTACTTAAAGCTTATTTGAAACTTTTCTTTATTTTGTTTTGAAAAAAGATTTGAATGTAATATCTTCCTACTTTAGAAAATAAATTTTTCTCCTTAATGTTAGATGCACAGACTTACATAATTGATCTCTAACTCAAATAACAACTTTTCTCCTGGTGTTTTTCAAAGTTTATAGTTATAATAAAGTTTAGACCTTCCTACTACAAACCCCTCTCCATTACATTATTTCGATATGTGAAAAGAGTTATTTTAACTAAAAGTAATCAAGATTTTAAATTAAGAAGAGCTTTTATAAAAAAAATAAACTGCAAAATAAAAGTGTATATTTATTTTTATAAGTTCATATACTTATTTTCAATTATTAACAATTATTTGAAAATTAACAATTATTAGGAAATTAACAAGTATTAATAAAAAATACAAAATAATACTTTTTTACAATAAAAAAAGCAATAATTATTAAGAAAAAGGAACAACATATATCTTTTAAAAAAAAATTTAACTACTATACAAATTCTTATCTATAAAAAAGACCAAAAAATATTTTTTTTTTTAAAAAAAAACCCAGTTAACAAAACAAATTTTTATTATTTACAATTACTATAACAAAACAAAATACAAAAAGAAATATATTTACATTTAACTACATTTACAAATTGGAAAGCTACAAAAATACTATTTATAGATGCGATGTAATATTTTCCCACCACTTCCTTCCCACATATTTTGTCTTCAAAGGGCCACTTTCCCAACTGGGGAATTAGCCCTAAAATTAGGCCCACACACCATATGTCTTATAAGATATGGGTCATTGTTCTGCAATATGCTGAAGTAGCATTGCTAGATATTTATCTTCCAATGATTAATAAATTATCGAAATTTAAAAAAAAAGTTTTTAATTTTGATATGATAAAAGACATTACACGTTAACACTAAAAATCAATATACCTGTTGTTGTTAATAATGGTCTAAAATAACAAAACTTAAGTTGTTAAAAAATTAAATGAGACTTACTTTTACTTAAAAAACATCATCGCTAATACCAATAATAAATTTGATATTGAATAAAAATTATATTGAATAAAAATCTGTTAGAGTTTATCATTAATAGAATTTAGTAACTATTTCCATAACGGTTTAACACATTATCTACAAAAAAGTTGGTTTGACAGGCTAAGATTGACATAATTGATTACCTGATATCTTTATCCATTTTAGTTTTCTCTTAAAAAATAATGAAAAAATAAGGTTTACCTATTAATAAATTACATAGACAGATTATATAATTATATCAAATTATTATATAATTTAACTAACACGTTTCTATCTTAAAACTGATCAAGCAGATATATACATATTAGTGATGTACCGATTAATCGGCATCCGCATTGGCTTAATCAGTCACTTTTTGTACAATCAGAATAGGTTTTGGCATTGGCCACTTTTACTGATTTTCCAACTGATGGCATTTTTATTGTGCATTATTATAATAATTAAATAATAAATAAACTAAACTTTATGCATTAATTAAAATTTTTATTTTGACTTAGTTTGCAGGCAAAAGCTTTAAAAGTAACCTATTTAAGCATTATTATCTATATTTTTAAATTATTTTTTACTCCCAACAAGGCTGCAAGGAACCACTATCAAGTTGGAAGTTGCTAGAAAAAAAGAGTAGAGTTGTAGAGTGAGGAAATGGTTGACAGAAGAGTTAAAAACAAGTTAAAGGTTGTATTAGTTAGTATAACATGAAGATGGAACTGAATTCAGAAGGGTTGAAGTGCTGGGAAATAAGCTAGACAAATAAAAAATTTTGGAGCATGGCGAGACAGATACAGTAAAAGAATGAGACTTTGATGAATGATGAGTCAAGCAAGCGAGAATGAGTTTTGGTTGATGGCACTTACGATGAAAACTCCTTTGAGCAGCAACCATTATAGTTTCTGTAGAAAAGAGAAAGAGATACAACTTTACGAAGATGGGAAAGAGGCTCAGATTTAGCAGATAAAACGAGTCTAATAATTTAACAGGTTTAATAATTAGTTAATTCTTCGGTATCGGTATCAGCCTTTTCCCATCCATTGGCATCGGCCTTTTCCCATCCATCGGTATTGGCCAAAAAAGTGATATTGGTACATCACTAATGCATATGAATCGAGATAATGAGGAACACCAACACAAAATTTTGATTGTAAAAGAACATTATATAAAACCATGAGCAAATAAAATCTGTTGAAAAAACTAATAGGACTTGTAATGCAGGTCATTATTGACTGTAGTATCAAAAAGATTATAAACACATTGAGGAACTTCCTAAATGAATACACAAATGTAGGGTCATTCCATATAAAATCATCCAGACCATGACACCCTTATGTCTCATAATTTGTTCATATTTACCTCAGTTGCAGTCCATATTAAAATAAAATAGTGCTGACTCAGCATTTTAGTGATTATCTGAAGTGACTGCAAAGCTACTTTGACAAATAGTATCTTCATAATAACTTGGTGAAATTTCCTAAAATTTAGTACCCTAATAGATTTTTACTCGACAAATCCAAAAATAGCACCCTTAAAGGTGAGTTTCCACTCATCCGTTTTTCTACGGGAAAGGGAAAGGGAACTGAAAAATAATCACGTGAGCATGCGCAGTTTTCTTTTAGACAAATAAAAACTTTTATTACGCATGCTCACGTTATTATTTTTTCCTTTCCTATCCCGTTCCGGTTGAAAAACGGATGAGTGGAAACTCGCCCTAAGACTCAATTGTCTCAGGAAATGCCTTATTTATCCAGTTTTGTTCGAAATTATTGACTTGTAAATTCATGACTTTTGGAGGTAGAATGAAGACTGTGGCTCAAAATATTGAGTAAAAAGTTTAATTGTATATCATTATTTCATCTTAGGTCTACTGAAAAAAATTGGATTCATCAATTGCCTCTCTAATACTTAATCAAAATTTGTGTTTTTAATAATTGTGTCTTTTTAGAAAAATTTAAATTTTGTAACAAAAGCAATTTAAATGTTTTTTAAAACATTTATTTAAATAAAACATCAAATAGTGTTATTTATTGACTAGTTTAAGGCATTTGTAGTCATGGTCCAAGGGGCCTCTGACCAACTCGTCCCCCTTCTCCCACCCCCCTTTTTGCACACACAAATTTCCCTGGATTTTTTTTTTTTTAATATATAAAATGAATTAATAATAAATTAATATTAAGTCAATTTAAAAACATAAGTTGTTTTTAGTATAAGTTTGAGAAACAATTTATTTGCATTATTTCAAATCAATAAATACTTACCTCTTACTTCAAAGTAAGCACTCAAAACTGAGATCTTTTCATGATTTTATAAATCATAAAGTTTAAAACAATAAAGTATATTGAATTGCATGCGTAATGAAATCTTCTTGGTGTCGTTCTTTTCTTATAAACTTCTTAAAAACTTCTGTTTTTTAGAGAAATTTTTTTGTAAATGCATTTATGTTTCAGCATTTAAAAAAAAAAAGAACCAGTAACAAAGAAATTGTATTAAAAAAAAAAACAATCTCGTAAATGAAAGTAAAGGAATAAAAAATATCGTAATTGTAAATGAATGAAAGAAAGTATAGTATCTCGTAAATGATCGGCAGTTTGAAAATACGTATTAAGTAAATTAATGACAGTTAGTAGAACACCTAAGTAGAACTAAAGAATTAAAATAACAATATTAAAAATTTAAAAAGACATGTTTGTAATACATAATCTTTGTAGTTGAAAAGAAAAGATAACCCTCTGATGTTTTAAGATAACACTCTACTGTCTTAAGGTAACCCTCTACTGTATTAAGATAACCCTCTACTGTCTTAAGATAACACTACCGTCTTTTCAGCTAATGAAATAAAACTAAGGAAATTAAAAGTTTAATTTTTATTTTGTAAAAAAAAAATTTAAGAAAAATTAATATTATTATTAAATATATGATCCTTCTATATAAAAGCATTAAAAATTTTATTGAATAAATTTTACTTTAATATTTATTTACTCTTCTGCTTTTAAAACTTTTAAAATAGTTATTGATGAAAAGTATGAGAAATATAGGATCAAGTATACTATTATGAAAAATCAAACCAACATTAAACTTTAATTTCTTTATGAAACTAAATTTGATGTTGTAGATATTTATCTATATTTTTATATTCTAGACATCTTTACGAACTTTTTCTTACATTCATAAAAAGTCTTTGTTCTAATGTGTATAAAAAAAGTAAAAAAATATATATCTAAAGTAAAAATGTATAAAGTTAAAATATCTAAACTTTAAGAACTAAGATAAGGATCAGTAGGAGTAGCTGTATAAGTAATTTATTGTAAGACTCATTAGAATCATGATTCAGCTTGACTAAAAGTGGGAATAAAGGCTTAGACTAAAAATTTTTAAAAACTTTAAAAAGTCACTAATATGATAGGTTACTGATGAATTACTAAAAAGAACAATAATTATAAATTGATGCATATTTTTGAGAAGTTTTTCAGGAAATTTTTAGTATTTAACCTCGAGAGTTTTTGATTTTATATTTGAATTGAAACTAGATATTAGTTATTTTGATAGTCACACCATTCAAGGTGTAGCCAAACCACATCTTTATTTTTTTATCAAATTTTGTACAATATAGTAGTTATACAACTCAAAACTTAAACTTCACAACTCCTTGATTTTTATAATATTTTCTTAAAATAAAGATTTAAAAAAGTATTTTGTTTTCCTAGCTAGCCCTAAATAAATATAAATAAATTTAATATTCCTAAATAGCCATAGTCCCTACCCCCTTTCCCCCCACCCCTCCCCCCATTTATTTACTTATTAACATGCAAATTATTGCCCAGAAGCTAAAAAAAATTTTATTTGAAGGTTACACAGTGTGTCTGCTTTTATGTCTGATGCATGAAGTGTCTTTATGCACAAACACACTCCTAAACATACACATTTAAATGCTTTGACATAAAAGACAAAATCTAAATAATAAATATTTTTAATGATATTTAATGATGTTAGCTTTTCCTATTCAAAGTATTTCAGGTATCATATTTACATTCAGTATCATACTCACAAACACATACTATGTTTGAGTACCACCAGAATGCAAAACTTTTGGCACTAAAAATATCATAAATTTCATACTATAACGACCTCTTAACATTATTTGTATGTAGCTTAACAATCATGACTGCATGCTGCACAGTTGAGATAACTGCCCAGATACCAACACACTAAAAGAGTATTTTACTACTTTGTTTAATAATCACATCATGGAAGAAATCATCTTTAAACAGTGGCAAAAAACCAACAAAAAACATGATATAGTTCCAGTAAATCTTCCAGTGATGATTTTATTAAAAAAACTTATCAACAAATAGACCAATTAAGAGACCATCACTATGTAGCCAAAAATCAAATAGCACATTTGCTGCACTAAAAATAACATTACCAAGTAATCATATTTTAGCATTACTAGACTTAGCAGTTTTTTAACTCAAGATGCATCACAATATTTCCATTGAAACAACAGTCAAGCAACATTGTATTATTAGTTTTAATTATGCATAATAAAAAGTATAAGCTATTTTGTTTACTAAGTAGTATATTCACCTAAATTTGCCGATTGGAAAATTTGATTGAGTTTGTTTCTAAAATAAACAATTTGTTAATTTTAGAAACAATGCTTTATGTATGTGCATAATTTATTTTTTTAATATTTCAACATTTTTAATATTTCAGCATTTTTTTTTTTTTTTATTTCTCTTTTAATATTTCTATATTTTAAATGACAAAAAATGCTAGTTTTCATATGAGAATTTTCTTATTTAAAATTATGCAATAAATGATATTTTTTACAATTAACTAGATAATACCTAGCCAATAATTCTTAAGTTTTTTTTTGCTATTATTCATTAACTATTGGTTATTTAAAATTTATTAATAGTTTTATTGATTTTTGTTTATTTATCTAACAAAGCAATCAATTCCGATTAAAATCTTATCTCTATTAACTTATGCCCAATACTTTCAATGCTTAGGCTGTACTTAGATAAATAAAACTTTCTAATATTTACTTGTTTTGTTATTTCTTGAAAAGCCTCTTTTATCGACAGTTTATTTTTATGATTTATAATATGTGTTTTTGAAATCCATTTTATTGTTGTAACTATGTTAGCATACAGTTACGATTGTACCGCATTTTTTAATTATAATTTTAAGTCTGTTATAAAACATAATTAATAAATTATTATTTACCTAAAATTTAATTTTAAATTTGTTAGTAGTTCAAAATTTATCAATAAGTAATTAATAATTAAAAATTTGCACTTACCACACAAAACCTGAAAATTATAATCTATTGAGATAAATTTTCTCCGGTTCCAAGTATTGCTGTAATTTAAACTAACCTTGGTCAAAACCAACCTTTATTTGGTCAGACTATTATGTTTTATATTTAAATTTACTTTTTTAGGATTTCCATATTTGGTAGCAGGTAAATATGCACAAGACTTTGGTGTTATTGAGGAGTCTCAATATCCATATACAGGTAATGATTCAAAATGCAATGCTCCACCAAAAGTTGAGCGAACTTATGTTTCTTCATTTGGTTATGTGGGAGGATTTTATGGAGGGTGTAATGAAGTTCTGATGAGAGTTGCTTTAAATAAAATTGGTCCATTAGCTGTGAACATTGAAGTTTATCCTGATTTACAATTTTACAGGAGTGGCATATACCACCATACTGGTATGAAATTTACTTGTATTTTATAGGGATAGCTATATTTAAAAACCTTTTTTCTTTTTTTTATTATTTACCTTCCTATGATCACTACGGTTTTACTAAAGATCTAAAGTTATAGGGGTACCCTAATATTTTTACCTAATAAGGTATAGAGGTAACCCTAATATTGATAAAAAATGTTGCTGTGCAGAGTATTAGGTTAAGCCTACCCTGAGATATGGCATTGTTTTTACTATGCTCCTTGTGCTTACAATTAAAGCGCTCTACATTTATACTAAAGTGAAGGCTCTACCACTTTTTCATTGCTATATCATATTTTCTTATAAATAATAGATATTTTTGAGAAAATATTTTAATCTGAAATGTTTTTAATCAAAAATATACAGTGTTACTTAGTTAAAATGATATGTGGTTTGCTTGTATATTAAAAAGAGAAAAAAGTTTTATTTAGATAATTGTTATACAGGTATAAATCTAAAATTGTATTCAAATTAATGACAGATTTTTAACTCATATAAGTCATATAAACTTTTTAATTAATTTATAATTTTATGTTAAGGATACAAATGCTTTTTTATGGTTTTAAGTTTGACATGTAATGTGATGCTTGTTCAGGTTTTAATTTGGTTTGAGACCCTAACAGGCAAGAAAATATAAAAAGTTAAACAGGCAAATTTCTTTTTAAAAATTATTTTAAGATTTTTAATTTTCATTATTTATAGAGCTAGATTTTAAATTCAACCCTTTTGAAATAACAAATCATGTTGTAGTTGTTGTTGGTTATGGTGAAGAAGATGGCCAAAAATATTGGATTGTAAAAAATTCTTGGGGTGAAGAGTGGGGTGAGAAAGGCTACTTTCGCATTCGACGAGGAACAGATGAAATTGCTATTGAAAGCTTAGTAGTATATGCTGTGCCTTATCTTTTGAATTTAAAAAAATGAAACTTTTTAATGTTTTTTTAATGACAACAACTTTTTAATGCAAAAAACTTTGAAGAATTTTATATTTTATTTTGTAGAACCAAATTTTAATTATTTTTCTACTTTTATTATCTTTTATATGAATGAGTTTTTATATATTTTGATTTTTATGTCATAGAAAGTTACTACTTATAAATTAAACCTTGTTTTAAATATTAGGTATAAAACAAAAGTTAATTGTTATATTTTTAGCTTTTCATTTTTTTCAAAAAACACTGTTGAATATTTTTAAAATTTTTATAACAATAGATTGTGTATTATAGTTAATTAAAAAGTTGTACTTTAATTTGTATATGCTTTAATAAATTAGTTTAAATTAAAATTATAAAATGAAAAATCAGTTTTCAGTTCGCTTAGACATATTTTTAAAATAAAATACAAAATAGATAACATTTCCTGTTGATTAAAAGCTGTTGTGACCCCTGCACTTTAAATTTTTTTAGCTACATTATATATTTATTATATAAAAAAAACTTTAGCTATAAGGTCATTCCATGTCAACTTAACCAGTGATGTTCACCACACCATCTCAGATCTTCCTGAAATTTTTGGGCTTGTAGTACATACAAAGTTAAGCGATTGCTGAAAATTTTAGGCCATTTGGTCAAAAACTTTCTGAGATATGATTTTTTAAAGTTTTAAGGGTTGTCAAAAGTTCATGTTACTTTTACATTTTCACGATATTTGAACGTGAATATTTCAAAAACTAAAACAGGTATCAGGCTGAAATTTTAAGCATTTACTCATTTTTTCATGCTGAGTTGAATGGTGTTTTTATATCAAATGTAGCTTGCATACTATATCCCCTAAAAATTTCCAAACATTGCACTTTAGACAGTTCTCACCAATATTTGACCCAAAATAGCCAAGAACCTATAAAACATGGAATGATGTTTGTTATACCATTATTAAGTACCATATATGTGTTTATTATTTTCATAGAAAATTCATGTTAATCAATAATAGTGTACCCATTGTAGGCACTATTATGCATCATGGTTATCAATTTTTTTGCGGATTGCGACCCCCAGATGACCATGTTGACAGTAATTCACACATTTCATATTTTGCACACTTATTAACCTCAGTAAGTACTAGCTATGGTAAAAATTTCATGTTGGTGTCTTGCCTCCTTCTTGGTGAAAAATCTGCAAGAAATTGAATATTTTCAAATGAATTTTTTATTTAATATTTTATTTAGGTATTTCATATTATTAATATACAATTATTAATTTTTTTTTTTATATAATATCTTTTTTTAGGTATTAATTTTTTTTTAGGTATTTCATTTTTTTAATAGAAAACATTTATAAACGTATACTAAAAGTTTTATTGAATTATGAGAAAGTAGCATGTAAATTTGTAATTTTTTTGGTTGAATTAGTATGGAATGTTTTTATAAAATTATGTTATCACATTTTTTTAATATTCGATATAGATTCAATATTTACTGAATATGGCTGAACTACCATTGTGCACATTTGGACTGTTGCTTCAAGATGAATGCCACAAGACAGTTCATACACGCAGTGTCGGCTTGCATAACCTGTCAGAATTATCTGATGCTAACTTTGAATTGTTGATGTTAAGAACCAAGCCTGTTGATCAATTACAAAGAGAGAACTGCAATATATGCTTCCACCACGAACAGGTTCTACTTGAAAAATTTGATAAATAGCAGCGAAGTTGTTGTGATCCATTCAATAAACATCAATGCTAAGTCACTGAGGGCAGTCAGTATTGACAAAGCCAAGGAGCTAACACTAACAACTGGGAGACACATCAAACCTGGTGAGAAGCTATGCCCAAGCTGTCAAAAATACGATACATCCCAGGAACCTGAACAGAGTTATGGACATTCAGCTAGTGAGACTGATATATAAGACGTTGAATTGCATCTTTCTCAACTAAATGACAATATAACAAACATTGGCTGCACACCAGTTAAGCTTCATGCAATGCCTGTTTGAAGTAGAATTTCATATACCAAATGTAAAATTGCAACTGCAACAACAGAGATCCAGAAGAAAGTAAGCAAAGTCATCCAAGTACCTCTTAATTTAGTTGTGAATGAAGGTGATGCTACAGATTGTGATGGTTGCAATGACTTAACGAAACTAGTGACTGAATTAAAGATTAAGTGCAGTATAGCTTCCAGGCAAGAAAAAATCAAGATGGTAAAACTAGCACCATCTAGCTGGAGCCAACAAAAATTCTAACCAGGAGTAACCAGGAACATTGTTAAGCAAGCAAGAAAACTGAAGAAGTCATTTGAAATTTTTGCATATCCACAGAAAAATTATGGCAAAGTCCTCCCAGATTGAGTGATTGAAAGTGTACATAAATTTTTTGAAGATGATGAAATTTCCCGCATGTGTCCAGGTCAAAAGGAATTCTTGTCAATCAGAATTGATGGTGAACGTATTCATAAACAAAAACGTCTTCTACTTCTGAATGTCAAGGAGATGCATGTAGAATTCAAAAAACGAACTGCAATGAAAATTGGGCTTAGCAAGTTTTGTTCACTGCGACCACCATGGTGCTTTTGACTCGAGTGGTGCCCATGCAATGTGTGTCTGTGAGACTCACCAAAATTTGAAACTTGCAGTTGCAGTACTGCCTGTTAGAACTGATTATACAGGCTTGATTGGGAAGCGGGAGCGATCGCTCTCAAATACTGACCACGGAAATTATATTTAGTTGCGTAAAACTGGCCAGGTTTTTTAGTCGTTTTGGAACATTTAAGTTTATTTATGAAACAAAAAATTTTTGTTTTACGGACATACATGGAAACATAAAAAACTTGAATGTTCCCAAAACATCATTGTGCGAAAGAATAAAAAGAATATTTGCGAGCACTAAAAACCCGCCAAATTAACGAACAAACTAATTCTATTGGTTCAAAAAATACGCTGAATAAGCGAAATAAAGTTCTAGAGTATTCTGTTAAAATGTTTCAGAAATTGTATTATACACGATTTGTTACGTTTTGAGATTTCTAGAATTGTTTTAAGAATATATATTATTTGGTTACAAAAATAAATTTTTTAAATTTATATTAATTAAATTGTTAAAATTTTAAAAGTTTATTATAAATTATAGATTTTATTAGTATATTCTTATTTTTTATTTAAAAAGTATGTAATCTTTATGTAAATGTAATTTTGTGTATCTGTTTTTTATCGTAATGTATCTTTTAAAGCAAATTTTATGATTTAAATAAAGACTTACAAAAATAATTGTGTTTTCAATGAAGTTATAATCGTTAATAAAGTTAATAAAACTAATTATGTAACAAACATATAAGAACTTTCTAGTTACTAAACACAAACAACGCATACAAAGTAACTCGCGGATGAACAAGCATCGCGCCTGAGGTCACGACAGAACACAAATATATATAGCAAATAATTAGATAAAAAAAAATTTCTAGATATTGGTTTACTAACTCTAATTATTTTCGCTTAAGTTGCCATTCTTAAAACTCGTTTTACTTTTTTCTGCTTTAAATACTAATTAAAATTAAAAAGCCCACTCACTAAACATTATCAGCGATATTGTGAAGCAGTTTCGCTTCCTGGTCATTAAGTATTTTTAACCTTTTTAGTTGATATCTATCTTGATAATTTAATTCCTATAGTAATTCAATGATTTAATTATTTCATTTGTTTATCTTACTAAGAAGAATCACTTCAAATATGTTAAACTTTTCAAACTACGCGAAACATAAAATAGGTATTAAAAAAATTAACTTTTTTATTTATTAAACAATTTAGCTCAAGTAAAACTAAAACTTGCAAACTTAGTTAAATAAAGGATATTTGTTTCTCTTTTAAACAATCATAAGTTGTTAATTTTATAAAAAAATTATAAAAGAGTGATGTTTCGAAAATATTTGTTCTAAATGTAATTTATTTAGCTTTAAGTTTTTTCGCGTTAAAAGATATTTTATTTGCCTTTTTTTTTTTTTTTTTTTTTTTGTAATTGTCTCTCATCGGTCCAATTAATCTTTGTCGTTTTTTTTTTTTTTTGCTTTTTGTAATGTTCTCAAAACGACTAAAAAATCTGGCCAGCTTTTCGCAACTAAATATTATTTACGTGGTCAGCAATCGAGAGCGATCGCTCCCGCTTCCCGACCAAGCCTGATTATAAGGACTTGCTTCTGAAGGTCGTTTGTCTAACTGAGAATCGAGAATGCATGTTGCATTGTTGTTCTATTTGTCCTGGTATTGATGAACTGAAATCATTTCTTGAACAGCTATTTGATGAAGCTGATATGGATTTAAATGACATAATCAATTACAAATGATGGACCCATGATGGTCAGTCAAAGCTGCAATCTGTATGTGAGACTGTTGCTGACTTCATTTTCCACTTTGTACTTCCACTGATAAAACAACGGATCATCATTTCACGGCCAAGGCACAGTATCCTACTTATGTCATCTGAAGGAGTGTTTGCCAGTTGGAACAGCAGTTGTGTTGCTGGGTTTTGCAGAAAATTATTCATTTATCTGTCAGGATGCGGTGCTAGGCTTCCACTGGGAAACATCACAGGCCACATTGCATCCATTAGTTGTGTTTTATCGTGAACTACCCACCAATGACCTATGCTGCTTGTCTATTTGCATTATAAGTGATAACCGTGAACATGTAACAGGTACAGTCCATGCCTTCATTGAAATAGTGCTGACATTTCTCAGGAGCAAAATGCCTGATTTGCAGAAAATAGTTTACTTCAGTGATGGAGCAGCAACGCAATATAAAAACTGCAAAAACTTAAAGAATCTTTGCATGCATAAAACAGATTTTGGTATTGAAGCTTAGTGGTATTTTTTTGCTACCAGTCATGGAAAAAGTCCTTGTGATGGTATTGGTGGTGCAATAAAGAGGCTAGTGGCAAGAGCAAGTTTGCAGGCAACTCTGCAACATCAAATACTAATGCCACATCAGATGTACGATTGGGCAACCAAAATCATTCCAGGAATTCACTTCCTGGAATGATTCTTTGGGAATAATATCGTGATGCATAACAGTGAATTCCAGGAATTCACTTCCAGGAATTCACTGTTATGCATCACGGTCATCAAAAATTGATGGCCGTGATGCATAACAGTGCCTACAATGAGTACACTATTATTGATTAACATGAATTTTCTATGAAAATAATAAACACATATATGGTACTTAATAGTGGTATAACAAACATCATTTTATGTTTTATAGGTTCTTGGCTATATTGGGTCAAATATTGGTGAAAACTGTCTAAAGTGCAATGCAAGCTACATTTGATATAAAAACACCATTCAACTTAGCATGAAAAAATGAGTAAATGCTAAAAATATCAGCCTGATACCTGTTTTAGTTTTGAAAATATTCTTGTTCAAATATCGCAAAAAATATAAAACTCGGGACCACCCTTAAAACAGCAATTGCTTAAGTTTGTATGTACTACAAGCCTTGAAAATTTCAGAAAGATCTGAGATAGTGAGGTGAACAATTGTCAAAATGCTGGTTGAGTTGATATGGAATGACTCTATTATATATTTTGCAAAATATTCAAAAGTATTTCTGATTTCTTTAGATTTAGTGTCTTGATAAAAGTTTAGATCTTTTTTTTTTCTTTGACTCAATCTACAAATACAATACACTCTGATAACATCAATTCGAGAATTCATTTTAAAACAAGTTTTTTTTTAGATAATTTAAAAAAGGAAATGAAAATAATTATTTTTTGTCTTTTTATTGGTTTGGTGGTAAGTGATCTGCCAACGAATTGTATGTATGAAGATACAGTAGGTGTTTGGACATTGAACCTTGGTCCATCCAACCAGACAAATACTATTGATTGCAATAAATTTCAACCTGTCAGTACTCTTCAAGTAGAGCTCACTTTTCCAAATTATGCTGTAGATGAGTATGGGAATATTGGGAAATGGACTATGATTTACAATCAAGGGTAGGGTTTTTATAGATTATAATATATGAGTAAAAATAGCTTAACATGTTTTTATGTGTGTTTTGTTTGTGTGGTGTTGTGTCAACACATTTATTGTTGCACTAGTAAATAGGTTGATAGGTTTAAACTAATGGTGTTAATCGCAATTTTAACCATTTGCAAATAAACCATTTTAAATATTTTAAAAAAACATTTAAAAATACTGGTTTAAACCAAATTAAGAATAAATTTTTAAAAAAGAAGTAAATGACTACGTTTACAATTTTTATATATAAGATTTGTTTATATAATTTAAATAGATAATTTTAAATTAAAAAGAAAAAAAATTAAAAAGATAATTTAAATATATAAGATATTTTGTGTAAATGTTTAATATAAATATATTTATAAGCATAAAGATACTTCTGAAAATAAGTTTCTTTAACTAAAAAATATCTAAAATCATTTGATTTTGGAATTACAATGGACATCAAATTGTTAAATGCATTAGCTTTTGGAGAAAAAATTACATGAACTTTTTAAAATGATGGGCTAATATATTTAAATGATAGAAACAATGATGATGGAGGTTCAAATCGATGGAGGTTAAATCAGCAGCAAATCTTTCTCTTTCTCTTTAGAATGTTATATAATGATATATTGATATATTCATATATAATATTGAAAATATTAAATATATAACATTGATATATGAAAAATATTAAAAAATATTAATGAGTTATGAAAGTTATGATTTCAGGCTTGGTTGGGAAGCAGGTGCAATGGCATTTAAATTTATGTATGTTTCCATGATTGTCTGAAAATATACTTCGTAACATTATTCTTTTGTAATCAAATATTTTTATATTAGCAAAACGTTTTTAAACAAAGCAAAGATTCATTGTTCATTAAAAAAAATTAATTTTTTTAATTATATAAAGTTAAGAAAAATTGAATTAAAATTTATGTAAAGTTTAGTAAATTACATAAATATAGATTAATATTTACTAATTAAAAATTATGTCATTTTTTATGTTAAATGTAAATCTTTTAAAACAATTTGTTTTATAAAAACAATACCTCCAACAACAATTGTGTTTTTAAAAGGATCCCAAAATACAGAGACAAGTTGTGTTCATATTAAAGAGAATGATCAAAAAAATGTTTGGGCTAAATTTTTTAGAGTAAAATAAAATAATAATGTATACCAAAAAAAACTAATTTTGTTGTTTTATTCGAACTTTGTTGTCTCCATGTAAGCCAGTTGCTTTAAGTCTTTAAAATATATGCGGCAACCTACAGACTTTATTAAAGCCCGTTTAATTCCAAAGAGTTTTAGTATATGACGTCATTGTAGGATTTTTTTTTAAAAAAATTGAATTTTAATCAATTTTATTTGTTTTTGTTTTGTTTTATTTTTAAAACAAGTGTTTATCATCAATCTTATGACTTTTCAATTAATTAGGAAGCAAGAACAAGAGAATATTTTTTTATTGAGCACCAGAACCAAATTAAATTTTTGTGATACACTCTTAAATATAATAAATATATAAAAAAGATGTTGATCAGCTTATATGCTGAATCTTTTTTCTTTGTATGTAAACAATTTTTTTTTAAATTTATCTAAGCCATTTGTTGCTATGATGTTTTTGTTCTCCTATCGAAATGACATTTTACAAATTCCTAAATTTTTAGTTAACAAATAGTTTTGGTAAGCGACATTTATTAGAAATATTTGCCAAATTCATTAGTTTTAAGTTAAAAATTATTTATAGATTTTACACTTAACAAATTTACAGGTAGTTTTTTAATAATTAAAAGAATAATATTTTATGGCAATAATTTAAGAGAGATGGCTATTAAAATTGTCAATGTGTTGCAGCGTGCGTTAAAAATCATGTATTTAATATTTCTTAATTTATATGTTGTATTTGGCAAGTATTTTACATTAAAACCTGTCTCCTAACATTACAAATAAAAAAACTACCATAATTGCTGACAAATATTTTTCATAAAACAATTTCAATTTTTAAATTGACTTGATAATTCTACACTTTTTTGCAATCTTGACCAATAATTGTTAAATTTAAAAAATAAAATAAAATAAGCATTACATGTTTTACAGAATAATTTTCATTAAATATATTCTTGCATGATTAAATAAGAATTTCGAGAATATTTGTACCCAATGAAATATTTAGCAAATCAATTCTGTTAATTAAATTTTGATAAGGTTAAATAATACAAATTAATTTTTTTAGCAGAATCATAATAAAGATAACCGTTTAGTAACAAATATAACACAAAAATATTTTCTAGCGATAGATAAAAATATCTGAAATTTTTTATTCATATTTTTAATGCGAACTTCACGAAATTTAGTTATTACTTTAAAATAAAATAATTAAAGAAATTCTATAGTTATTTATAATGGGGAAAAAAAACAAAACTTTTATATGATAACAAGTAACTAAACAAATTATTAGTATAATAAAAAAAAGTTCTATAATGAAACAAAAAAAAAAATCTATAATTTGATGAAAAAAGAAATTTAGATTTCTTATCGAAATTCTGCAATAATGTTATATATTATATTATTATATAACGTTATATAAAACTCTTTGGAATTATATGCGTTTTAATAAGTTATAAAGTCTGTAGATAGTGAAGTATATTTTAAAGACTTAAAGCAACTGGCCAACATGGAGACTGTGAACCCCGAGTAAAATAACTAAGTTTTTCTTGGTATACATTTATTATTTTGTTTTACTCAAATAAATTCAGCCCAAACATTTTTTTTTATCATTCTCTTTAATATGAACACAACTTATCTTGGCATTTTAGGATCCCTTTAAAAGAGGCATAAAAAAATTGCTGAGAACAAGAATATCAACCAATTGCACATTGTTATTGAAGAGAAGTCTCATGCAATACTTGATACAATTGAAGTCTTGGTATCAATTAATCACTTACAATCAATGAAGAGAAGTCTCATGCAATACTTGATACAATTGAAGTCTTGGTATCAATTAATCACTTACAATCAATTATCAAAACTCTCTGAAGAAAAAAAAAAAAAACATTAACTAATCTAAAGTATATAGTTGAGATATACAAAGAACATTTATCTATATTCTGAAACAATCTTTAGAGACTTCTTGATGTTGTTATAGGGGATGAGTTGTGGCTTTATTAGAGACAAGTTTGAAATAAGTCAGCCATTGCTAGTTGAGTTGTGAATTGAGAATGTGAATAGACAAAAATAAAAGTAAGAAATGTCAGGTTTGTAATAGAAACATGTTCCACATTTTCTTTAAAACAGCAGGTGTCTTTATTGGTCAATACAATGTCAGAAATTGTTTAAAACCTGTTATACTCAAAATAAGTCAGCAAAGGTCATAACAGAGATTCAAAATTTTTTAGTTTTTTAATACTTAATTTAATACTTAACATAGTTATTAAATTTTTTATTTATATAAGTATAACACATATACTTAGGTACAACCCTAGGTTGTAGTTTAGTTGAATGAATTTGTTTACTTGATATAATCACTTTTGTGTAATTGAAAATGCAGGTGATAGAAAAATTGTTAAAAACCAAATTTAAAAGTTAATCATCTAACAATAATTCAATAGAAAACATTTTAAAAATTATAAGAAAATAATTACATTGTTATATATTCTGTTTTATAAATGTATGTTTGATATTTATTCTTTTTTTTTTACTTTTATCAATAAAGTTATAGAAATATTTGTGAACAGTTTGGCACAACTAATGTTATCAATATACATCCTACTCCTAGTTTGGAATTAAAGTTACAACGGTTTTCTAAAATTGTATCCAATAAGAGTCAAATTTTTTTTTTAAACATCCAAATCACTTTTGTTTCTGTTGCCTCTCTTAAATTCTTTTACAGCTTGTAGTCATGTCATTACATTCTCTAAACATTTGTTAAATAGTTTGTAGTAACATTTGTTAAGTAGTTTGTAGTAACATTTGTTAAGTAGTTTGTAGTAACATTCTTACTGTGTCTTCTACTTAAGATTCTTTTAGATTATTGTTCACTACTGACCTCTCATCAAAACCTTATATACAATCCATTGCAAAGTTAGCAACTGCTTGTTTCTTGCTTTTTATTTTCTTACTCCTGATCTTTAATACTGTTGAAACCCTTTCTCTTTCAGACAAGAACTAAAAATGTATTGCAAATGTTATTTTTGCAAAAACTCTACTCGGAAATATGATATTAGAAGTTATATTTTAAAAATGATTATTAATTCCAAAATCCATTATAATAAATATTGATATAAAAGTAAAACTATTTTTAAGAAGTTATCTATATTTAAGTGACATCTTAACAACTAAAGCTTATCTAAAACTAAACAGCAAATCTTAACAACTAAATATTCAATTATTTTATTTTTTATTTAAAAAATTTGATGTAGTTATAATTAAAAAGTTCCAAATGGTTAAATCAATTGCTCCTGGAAAGGAACTCTGCAAACCATGTAAACATAAGATTGCCAGAAGAAAAGATCGAGCAGATGCGGAACAAAGTCATAATGAAAAAATATAATTTTTTTAATATTGTTATTCAAAGAAACAAAACAGAAGATCAAATAAGGTCTCACCTTTGACACCTTTTTGTACCCAATGATTTAGCTAATCATACCCACATTATTTATATTTCAGTATATTCTACATTATTTATATTTCAGCTTTAATTTCAGCATTCTGTTTTTATTTAATCATGTATCAAATGCTGTTCTAAGCACTTATTTTTATATCTTTGCAGTTGTTATTTCTCATTTCATTAAGAAAAACATCTTTCAAAAAAGAAAAGCGGATTCTTTTGGAAAAACCTGGTGATTAAATTTGCATATAATGTTTAATTACAAATAGTTGTCAAACTATGAAACAATAACAAACAAAAAGTTGTTTTGAGTGGTTCAATGGATGTAAAATTATTTATTATTTTACGAATAGTTGTCAAATTATGAAACAAAAGGAAAAAAAAGTTGTTTCAAGTGGATCAAATTTTTTATTTTCTAAGCTTTATCACTATTATTATGTAAAAAGTAATATTATTTTAGTTAATAAGATAATGTACTTGTCACTCATTAATAAAGTAAATACCAGTAAAGAAGCAGTGTTATTACAATTTTGTACTCCAAACGATGTCATACTGTTTGTTTTAGTTTTATATGTTTTTGTTGAGTATATTAAATCACTTATTTTATTTTATCAAATTTTATTTTTAGATTTGAAATAAATCTCAATGGTCGTTCTTACTTTGCATTTCAATATTACGAGCAAGTTTCAAAAGATGAATTTGTAAGCTACTGTCATAAAACATTTAATGGATGGGTGTATGATGCGGTTACTGATAAAAAATTTCCACCAAAAAACTGGGGTTGTTATGATGGTAATCATTATTTTATATTTTTTCAATAGCATTTCTAAAAAGAATATAATTCCTATTAAAAATTACCATTTTTATAATCCATGGAATTCAGTTAAAATCAAAATGTTGTTTAAATTTTTAAATACAAAGTTGAAAATATTTCACTAGGGCCTAAATATTAAAAAATAAAATTGTATACTTAGCCTTTCAATGAACTGTCATTGATAAAATAGGGAGGTATTCTGAAAAAGTTTAAGCAGGTACTTTATGATTTTTTTTTCAGTATTGTTAGTATATTGCTTTTTTCATTTTTCTTTTTATTGAAAAAACTGTAAGGATTATACCAGCAAAAGCGTGTTCATATTACAAATCTCAAAGATCAAATCAATGACATTTGTTGTTTAAATCAATGACGTTAATTGTTAAATTATAAAAAAATTAAATAAATTAAAGTGTTAAATTTGTTATTTTTAAAGTAACATACTTCAAAACACACCTTGTTTTTTTAAAAAAACAAGTTTCCAGTTTCAAAGTTCTTATTTATGTTTGAAAAATAGTAAAACATTTTTAATACGTTTTTAGTAAACTATTACATTTTTTAAAAATGACAATAACTTATTTCAATCTCAAATATTTCTATGAAACTTTTATATTTTAAAAGAATGATCGTGATATTTCATCACTCTAATGATAACAATGAGTATCCAAGGATAGCAAGGGTTATATAAAGGTAATAAATTGTATACAATAAAAAAAAATGGAAATTTTTTTTATTATAATTGCTATATTTAAGATATACAATGCATAAATAAGGTTTTAAACATGTAAATTGTGCATCGCTTAAAACATGTGAATTGTGCATCGGTTTAAATTAATTTTACTTAGAATCATTTTATATTGTTTGAATTTTTTTTGTTGTTGTTCAGACTTTGGGGTCCACAAATTAGGTCACTCAATTTTTGAACATTTAGACCCTCTCCCTCCCTCCCCCCTCCTTATCACAACATTTAGTAACAATTTCTGTATGAATTGTCACAAAACCACTAACTCCTCTCCTCCTCCTCCTCCCCCTCCTCCAACCTTCTAAAGCGTGACAATTTATGGACGACCTCTATTCAGTACGTGTAATCCTTAGTTTTTATTGCATTTTTAGCCTACAGTTTTTGGTTTTTTTTTTTGCTGTTAAAAATTACTATTATGCATCAGATAAACTATTCTCCGTTATCCATCAAACATTTCATTATCATCTCCGTTATCCATCAAACATTTCATTATCATCTCCGTTATCCATCAAACATTTCATTATGTATCATCTCCAATATTCATCAAACATTTCATTATGTATCATCTCCAATATTCATCAAACATTTGATTATGCAAATCTACTGTTTAATGTATGTAAATAACAATGCATCATAAATATTTTGTCATTTTTTGCCCTTAACAACATTATAATAAAAAATCAGTCTATACTTAATGGCCAGTTGATGAAAAATAATGTATATTTAAAAAATATGTTTTGTACACAAATATAACCTACAAAATCTTTCTATACTGTTATATAATTGAAATTGTGTAAATATAAATATAAAAAAAGTTATTTCATGACAAATAGATTGCATTAAAAGATATTTTTGTATTTATAATAATAACAATTGTCTTCTATTAATTTTATACTTTTTTCTCGGAAAATTAAAAAAAAAAAAATTTAATTTCTAAATTTTATTTACGCATTTTATATCTTAAATATAGCACTTATAATGAAAAAAATTGAAAAATGTAGTTTTGGCACAAAAATACAATTTTTTTCCCACTGTGCAAAATGCAAGATATTTAAAAAATACACATTAATGTTTTGAAACACTTGTCAAATTAATTAGTTGCATTAATGATTTAAAACAAGACTTTAATTGATATTTAATGTAGGGCCCTGCAAATCGGCAGTTTTTGTTTCGAATTGAATCTCAAATCAAAGCAGGTCTTTATTTGTATTTAAATTTTTATTTAATAATACATATTTCAAAAAAAAAATAATTGTAAAATCTCTTTATTGATGCTTCTTGCCCTGGTTAACTTTTTTAATGACAGATTAAAAAGGTATTTAAGGATAAGTAACATTATTTCGATAGCGCCAAAACGCAGTATACCTAAAATACCCACAACAAAAACAAAATAAGTAAGGATTCGATTTTTGAAAATCTCAAATCATTTTTTTGATTCAATTTGAAATTTCAAAGCTTCGCAGGGCCCTAATTTAATGTTTACTTAAATAAATATTTTCATTCATTTTGAGTTTACTTAAATAAATATTTCAATTCATTTTGATTCAATGATGAATATTTCCTCTAATGAACATGTCTTCAAATTTTGATTGTGTAATGTTAGCAATAGTTTTTGGGTATTTTGGCACACTCTGTCACACTCTACTCTGTCAAGTCTTAAAAATGGTTCAAAGGATACTAATGTTCAGCATCTATTTCAACTCCTGCTCATAATTTTGTAAAATACACTTATGATTACAATTTGCTAAAAATCAAGGAAAATACAAAAAGCACAATAAAAAAATGGTAAATCTAGTAGAGGTGGCAATTATGGGTTGTTATACATTTTATAAGTATAAATATTTTTAAATTAGTAATAACTGTTTTTGTTTTTTAAACTTAATTTTATACTTTCTGTCCCTGCATGCTCTAAAATCTTTTATTTATCTAGTTTTTTTCTCGCATATAAAATCATTGTAATTCTCTCACATCTTCATGTTTTCCTGACTGACAACCTTCAACTTTTCAAGTCTCCTGTCAACTTTTCTAGTAACTCCTAATTTAATAGTGGTTGCTTGCAGCTTTGTTGTGGGGTTAATCAGATTAAAGAAATAAAAAAATAAAAAGTTTTTTTAAGTTTTTTTTTAACAATTATTTATTATATATTGCTTAAATTTTTCTTTTAAATCTTTATTAATCAGCTACAAAGAAAGATAAAATCACAAAATTCTCTAAAATGACTTCTCTTGATGACGATGAAACGTTAGATGAGCCCTATGGTTTAAAACATGAACTTGTGCAAAGCATAAACAATATCCAATCACTTTGGAAAGCTGGTGTTTATGAATTATATGCTAACTTAACAATCAGAGACATGATTAAGAGAGCTGGGGGAAATAAAAATCTTTCACCTGTATTACCAAGGTTACTCAATATTGTAGAGTTTTTTGTTTTTTTTTTACAGTTTTTTTTTGTTTTTTGTTATTGTTTTTTGTTTGTCTTTATAACAAATGTCTTTTTTAATGCAATTAGAAATATTTTTACAGGATATAAACTTCAAAAGTATATAAGTGTAACTTTTAGTAATATTTGTCTTGCAAAAATTTAAAACAAAACTTTGCACTCTTTTTAAAATAAATCACTTCAAAAACTCCTTGTAAAATTTTTTACAATCTTTTTTTATAAACAAATTTTTACAATGTTTTTTAAATCCCATCCTAAACTTCTTTTACAAGCCTTTATAAACCTTTATAAACCATTTATGTATTTCTTTAGATTATTTAACTTTAGTTAGTAAGTTAACCCTTTGTACATTTAGGCCATCTTTGCTTGATGGAAAAGACCTACCTGATGCATTTGATTGGCGTAGCAAACACAGTAGCAATTTTGTATCACCTGTTCGCAATCAAGGAAATTGTGGAAGTTGTTACGCTTTTGCTTCTATGGCTCAACTAGAAGCAAGTGCTAGAATAGAAACGAATAATCGCATAAAGCCAGTTTTTTCTACACAGAATATTGTATCTTGTTCACCTTTGTCTCAAGGATGTGAAGGAGGTATTATAACTAAGCTTTAAATATAAATTAACTCCGAACTCCGAACATTTGTAAAAATAACATGTTGCTTTGCAATCAAAGGGTAAATAGAAGTTAAAAAACATTAAAAAAAAATCTTCTCAACCATTTTTACTTCATATTTTTACTGCATATATTAAAATAAATAAAAGAATAAAATAAAAATAAAAATTTAGTGGAAAGTCTATATCTGATCAGGCTTTTACAGGAAGGCGTGCAATCTCACGTTTTTATATGACCACACAAAAAATAATGTTTTAACGATTTGACCATGGCTTTTGCCATATTTTCCAAATTTAAAAATGCGCTAAAAAAACTTACCTAACCTTATCTGAAATTGTAAAAAGAAAAATAATTTTAACGAAAGAGAAAATAAAAAAAAAATACTGTTAAAGCAAAAACACAAAAAAATAAATATATATAACCCAACTAAAATAAATCTCATCAAACTAAAATGCTTAGTCTATTTAATTTATGCATTAAAAAACCATTTCAATCTTTGTTTTAACATTTGTACTATTTTTTTTTTAAATTTAATATGTTTCAAAAGATAAACATTTCTCATAAAAAATACATAATTAAGTAAATTTAAAAAAAAAAACAGTTTATTAATACTTATTTTGAAAATTGTTAAAGAGACTTTCGTAGTCAAAGAATCTCATTGTTTATAAAAACAAAACAATGTTTTATTTTTTAATAATGTTTATTATAGAAATGCAAACTTAAACAATTTATATATTATATATTAAAAAAATATATACAACTGTCAATTGTATTTATAAAAAAAAGCATCAGTAAATTGTTACTTTATTTAAAAGCTAATATAAAAACATTTGTTACAAAGTTTTGATGTAATTAATTTCACTTTTTCCAAATATTTTTTATTTAGCGCGTTTTTAAAATGTTTTTTAAATTGCGCGGTCAAATTGTCATAGCAAAATGTAATTTGCCTGGTCATATAAAGACGTGCGATCGCACGCCTTCTTGTGAAAGCCTGTATCTGATGTGCATTTTTATTCAAAATCTATGTTGATATATTAATATGCAAGTAGGTATTTAGTTAATTAGTGTATATTTAGTATTGGTATTAAGTATTGGTGGGTAGTAAGTATTTAAGTGGTGGATAGTAAGTATTTAAGTGGTGGGTAATAAGTATTTAAGTGGTGGGTAGTATTTAGGTGATTTAGTATTGGCATTAAGTATTGGTGGGTAGTAAGTATTTAAGTCATGGATAGTAATTATAAATGTGTTTGTTAGTTTGAGTTGCTTCTATCAGCTTATTAAAAAAAAAATTTTTCTCCACTTTTTAACTGTCTTCATATCTAGAATAATGCTATATGAAACAGATTGGTTTAAACAATCACAACCATTCATTGATAAATTGTACTGTTGTATAATTTCTAGTTTTCCTTGACTATGCAAAAACATGATGACCTTTTCCAAGAAGTTAAAATCTATAGTCAAAGATTTTTTCTGATTGCTTTCATATTATATTTTCACTTATACGATCATTTCCAAATTACATAAGGATATTATAGGCATAACCAGTAACACTGTCACAAAAACCAAATGTTTTAAGGTATTTGCTTGGTTTGCTCTGGTTATATTTTATATTTTTTCATCTACCCTTAAATTTAATAAATATTTCATTAATAGAAATCTTCATAACCATAAAATGCGTTTTGATAATTTGCAACAAGATTTTTCAAAAAAAAAATTGTATTTATTAATTGGGGTCCATGAAGAAAATATAGACGAACTTAAACATAGGTTGTTTATCTGCCTTTTATGAGATGCAGATAAACAACCTATAAATTTTCTTTTTCTTTTATTTATAGAAAAAGATTTTGTTGAGGAAGTTTCATCACCATTAATCAAATCAGATGAGTTAATTCCACAATTAAAGATTTTAGTTCTTGTGAGCTAGAACTATTTTCAAACTCACTTTCTGACTCACTCTGATCTCTATTTCTGATTCACTATGATCTTTATTTAACCATTCAAGCCTTATTTTAGAATCACTATACATTACTTTTAATGACTTTATATCGATAGAGGTTTATAAAATGTCAAACTTTGTGATATGATATCTTGATATAATTACACAATATGGCTTTTTTGTTTTAATATTTATGCATATAATTAATTAAACTTTTTTAAGAAAGTAATTGAGTCATAAATACTTATGCACAAAATTATGATAAATAATTTAGCATATTAGAAAGCTGCTACCAACACTTGCAGTGGAAATTATTAAACAACAAAAGCTGTTGTCTGTTGTTGTGATAAGAAGTTAAACCCAACTTTTTTGAACTCCATTTATCTTTTTCTTGCTTCTCAGTTAAATTCTGAGTGGTGGAGACAGTAGTTTTGTGAAATTCTGAGTGGTGGAGACAGAAGTTTTGTGGGTTTTTATTGATCATCTTTTTAAAAATATAAAATAAGTTAAAACGTTTTTACTGGCTTTTTCTTTAATCAAATTAAAACTTCTATTATGGATGTAACTCTGTATTTGAAATTCGATATACAGTCAAGTATATAAATATATATGATATTAAATTTTATGGCTTTTTCTTTGTTTTTTTAAAAGAAAAAAAATTGTTTATTGATCTTCTTTTATTTAGGTTTCCCATTTCTAACTGCTGGTCGCTATGCACATAGTTATGGGGTGATTACTGAAGATAAATACCCATACATTGGTAATGATACTAAATGTAACCCAGAGTCATCTGATTATAGATTTTTTGCCTCTGAATATGGGTATGTTGGAGGGTTCTATGGAGGATGCAGTGAAGTCTTGATGCGATTGGCATTGATTAGGTATGGTCCACTATCAGTAGGAATAAATGTTACAAGTGAATTCTTGCATTACAAAGGAGGAATTTTCTACCAACCAGGTAAACATAATGGAAATCCTAGCAACACAATTTTCTTTTATTTTAATTTTTTTATATATTATAAGTATATATGAAAAACTTTTTATGTACTGTGAATTATAACACATATTAAAAAAATCAATAAACAGTGACTGTTTTTTGATTTTTCTAATATGTGTTATAGCAAAATATATAAGTAAAAAATAAGTCAAAAAATTATAAATATATTAAACATATTTTATGGGAATATATTTTGACAATATTTGATTATGTTTTTCGAAAGTTTTCTTAAAATAAAGATTATTACTACTAAATGTAAATATAAAAAATATAGCATTCTACTCACTAAGCAATATATTGCCTCCATAAATAAAATATTTTGTCTAAAGAAATAATTGAGCAATAAAACATTATAAATATTTTTTGTTAAAGCAAATAAGTGTATTGAAAATAAGTGATACTATAACTATATACATAGGTATAACTTACACATTTGTTTTCATTTAAGTTTTGTCATAAGATTTAAATTGCTTTATTTGGGTACTTTTGAACAGTTTTTCTGAACAATCTCAGTGATTGCTTAACAAAAGTTCATTTGGTTAATTTGCATTAGTTTTGGAGTTTTTTATTTAATTGGTAGAGTTATAAAGAAGATAATTATAAAAAAAATTTAATCATGCATTTTTTAGAAATATATATTCAAATTTTTTTAAATTAATTTTTATTTTGAGTTACATGCAGTGAATTGAGTTACATGCAGTGAATTGAGTTACATGCAGTGAATTGAGTTACATGCAGTGAATTGAGTTACATGCAGTAAATATTTACATCATAACAAATAATTTTCTATCAGTTACTTTTCTTCTAAATGGTATTCATTTAAACTGCAAAATTAAATAAAGCATTTATTATACAAATATAGTAAAGTAATAAGCCAATTAAATTAATAAAAACAAGTTGTTTAAATTTAAAAAATTAAAAAAAGTTAAAAAACTTTAAGCTGTTCAAAAAATGGTAGACTAAAGCAAAATTGTAAAAAAATGCCATGTGATGCATATAATCACATTATATATAGGCATATATTGTCATTCTATAGTTATAACCACGTATCTCAAATAAACAAGGTTTTCATGATAAGCAAAATGAACATTCAAAATCTGAACTTATCATTATAAAATCACAATTAAAAAAATTCAAAGGTCAAAACAACAAAAAAACTCAGCATTATTAATTTTACCCTTTTTAAATTTTTTTTGGTTATGGTGTACCATATTATGGTTATGATGTACCATATTATTGTAAATTACAATTTTAAAGGGTTGAAACCATAAAAATGCATATTTTGAGATACGTGGTTTTAACTTAAGATTGGCGATATAAGGGTTATAATTTTTTGTTACATTTTGGTTTCATAGGTTGGCCTATGAAAGATAAATAAACTTTTAAAAGAAACTTAAAAGTTAATGGTTTTATTAACTTTTTCAAAAAATCTTCCAGCATGAGACTAGCAAAAAAATATTTAAAATATTTTTTTTAAAAAAAGTGCTATATTTTTGTAACTTTTTTGTTAACTCAAGATAATTATTAATAAAAAAGTTTTTAAATAGATTTTATTTTTGTGTAAAATATGAATTACAAAGTTTTCAGTTTTAAAATAAAGGAACTTGAGTTGTTTTTTTTATTGTCATAAAAATAATTGACCAAACACATTTTTTGTTTTTAATAAATTATCAAATAACAAAACAATTATTTTATTATTTTCTAATCCTTTGTTTTGCTTGGATTACAGATTCTAGACCTTTAGGCATTGATCCGACTAAAGATTTTGTTTCTTCTGGTTGAATCATTTCCCAGGTGATTTCATTCGCCACTTTGTGGTTCTCTTATTCGGAAAATTACTGATCTCCAATTTTTTTGTTCAAAAATTTCTACAAATGTTCAATGAAATTAAGGTCTGGTGATTGTGCAGGCTATTCCAAAACCTCAACATCATTTATAACAAACCATTCCTTAGTTTTAGTGGCAGTATGCTCGGCATCATTATCGGGCTGAAATGTTAAAATCAGTTCCTAGCCGAAGTTTTCGAGCAGATAACTTCAATTTTGCTTTAATATGTTTCTGTATTGCACCTAATCCATTAAAGTAACAATAAATTGGAGTTTTCCAACACCCTTCCAAGCCATTGAACCCCATACTATCACGTTACCGCCACCATGCTTGACAGTTTCTCTCACGCAACCTAATTGGTAGGCTTCTCTGGCTTTATTATGGAATTTAAGTTGAATTTCGATTTGTCGCTCCACAGGACCTTTTTCCAGAAATTTAACGGCATGTTTTTATACTTCTTAGCAAACTCCAATCATCTTTTCATCGATCATCTTTTCATATGCTTCTTACTTAAATATGGTTATTACGCACATGTCGTTCTTGAAATCCCTTGTCTTGGATACGATTTCTGATTGTCTTCAGCTTGCTCAGCCAGATTTCGAGCAGAAACGAAGTGATTTTTTTGACTTGTATAACTAAGTTTCTATCAAAGCTCTTAGAAGTCTTCTTTTTGCTGCCTGTCTGTTGTGGCTGTTGTTTTTATCAAATTATACTTCTTCATTACGTCGGATACTGTATTATGAGGAATTCCAGTCTCTTGTTGCACCTGGCGAGACACTCTGATTGACTAGATCGACAGCTAAATTTCTCTGTGCAACAGTCCAGTGACGTTTACCTCCAGCCATTTTTCTAAAAAAACATTAGATGACTGCTGTGAAATGATTATAATATATATATTAAAATAATTATGCGTTGCATATACAGTTAAAATATTGCAACATCAGCCAATGATAAATGTATCTAGCGTCAAGCTATTAAAATGTCACCTTTTTTGAAATAATTTAGCTATGACGAACACTGCTACAGAAAATTTAAATTCTTCCAGTAAATATATTTTAATGTATACTATAATAATAAGTTTTGAGAAAGTAGAATATAATGTTATCTATTTATAATTTATAAATTATTATAATTATTTTAACTAACATGTTTTACTTTTTTATTGATTAAAAATAAAATAAAATTCTTACATTAATATTTACATTAATACATTAAATTGAATTAATTTTTTCATTTCAGAAACTCATCTACTTGGTTCTAAGTTTAATCCATTTTATTTAACCAATCATGCTGTTCTTGTAGTCGGTTATGGTGTCGATCATGATAATGGAGTGAAATATTGGATAGTGAAGAATTCTTGGGGAGAAGGTTGGGGAGAGGGTGGTTTTTTCCGAATTCGACGTGGAACAAACGAGATAGGAATTGAAAGCATTGCTGTATTTTCCAAAATTTATTTTGGTCATTAGTTATTAAGTAATATATTTAATTGTTATATTAATCTTTTATACTAAGTTTTTTTTTTCGTGTATAACATGTTATATTTTGTTTTTGTCTTCATTGTTCGTTATTGTTAATGATAATCGTCTTGTCTTTACATCAATGTAAAATCATTGTTAAATGTAAATTCTTTGTTAAATGTAAAATCACTGTTAAATGTAAATTAAAAATTGTAGTATTTTTTAACTTTTATAATAGAATATTTTTAATTCAAAAAATATTGACGATTCATTTGATTTTGACGAAAAAATTGATGTTTTGCATTAGATGCATAAATAATTTATTATAACATCTAACAATTTACAATTATGGATGAATTATGAAACGAAATTTTTGGTAATTTTTTGAGGCCGTAAAAACACAATTTGCGTAATAAAATTGTCTATCATTATGGGTTTTACAAGAAAAAAACGAATTCCCTAACCCACCCACCCCCATCCCTTCCTTAGTATTAGTAAAACTTTGAACAATCTTTGAGTTTAACTAAAATCGTTTAACTAAACGTTTGAGTTTAACTAAAATGAGTTTAACTAAAATCGTGCAAGTTGTTATTAATTTCATAGGAACAATTTTATAATACTTAATGAATTATACAGCTTTTCCCATAATTTTTTTTTTTAATGTATTTAGGTGCTCCCTTAGTCATTACGGTCTCATCATAGAGCACCGCGGGAAAGCATTTATCAGGAAGTTCACGCCTCCTTCCGTACCTATGTCGTTTGTCGGGCTAGAGCTGGCTAATTGAAAGTAAGACCAATTTGTATGCTTTTTGATAATATTAGAATGGTGAGTAAAATCCCATACCCACAAACTTAAAAAGCCTTTTTTATGATTCTCCCTGTTTCGTATAATATATACAATAAAAATATCAAAATAAGATCTTTTCACCAAGTTTTTTATTTGTTTGAAAAATCCGTATTGAAAGACAATTTTTTTTTTACGTCAACCGTGTTTGTAAGTAATAGTGACAGTAGTAAAAAATTATTTTCTAATTTATGTCTGATGTTAAATTTTTTTTTTCCATTTCGCTTACATTAAAATGTCACAGTACAATTATATGCCGTATATATGGTGTTACAATAATAAAAATTCCAATATCAGTATAATTAAAATAAGAAAAATACTCGCATGTATAAATATAAGCATATATACTAGGGGTGTTCAAATTTTACAAATTTTTTTTGGAACATGTATGCAAGCTAAAAAGATGTGTAATCGTGAGTGATTCTAAGATAATATTTTGATTTTTCAAAAAAAAAAAAAAAATTTCACCCTGCTACACCCAACCAAAGTTTTTCAAAATTTGTAACTTTTTACAAGATTAAAATTTTCTCGAGATCTAAGATACATACAAACACGTATACGACTTATTTGTTAGCTTACTATGTCTAGAGCATGCTTGAAAAAAATTGGCACCCTAACTTTATGAGATCACCTTGCTACAACTTGATTTCGAAAACCGTGAGAATATGGAAGGTTGGGGGGGAGAGGGAACAATTTTTTTTTTTTTAAATTTAAGTTGAAACTTATAAATATAAAAACGTCTAAAATTTTTTTTGATAAAAAATAATAAAACCTCCGCCATAAAACCGCAGCTCAATGAGTCAAGATTTTGTAGGAAGGTGTTGCAGCAGCTATATAGATCTAAAGAGTTTTGTACAGCCTCCTTATGGCTAGCAAAAAAAATATATAAAAAACATATTGATGTCTCTCTACCCAAACAGGGAGGGGAATGTATGGGTAATTTTTTCCCGTACCTTTTCCTCTATCCCCTCCCCCCACCCTCTTTTTTTTTTTTACTTCAGAAAAATAAATGATAGCGTTGAAAAAAATATTAACTTAAATTATAGATTTAGGTTTCTGCATTATTGAAGGTATCGTTTTCAGCCTCTATAGTCTCAACCACATCATCTTCATCAACAACATCCAAGCTACTGTCAAAATCACTAGTACTAGATAGTGATAACTTGTCCTCCGTCTCCTCAAGACATTCATATTCGTACGCAGGGTTAGCTTCTCAGCAGGTGTTAGCTGTTCGGCTGCCACTTTATATGCTGCTTTAGCGCGTGAAATTGGTTTTTTTATTTTATTATTGACTATTAATATTATACAAGTATACTTAATGGGGGATTTTAATATAAACCTTTTAAACGTTATAAATGATAATAAAGTCGAACGCTTTCTAAATCTTCTCTATCAGTACAATATTTTACCATTAATTAATAAACCAACTCGCATAACTCTTCAAACTGAAACTCTCATAGACAATATTTTTATTAATAATTTCTCGAAATATCACACTAAAAGCGGAATTATAAGAACTTATATAAGTGATCATTTCCCAATATTTTTCACATCAAATTCAATATACAAAGAAAAATCAATCAAGGAATCAAACAAATTAATTAGCGTTACAAAAAAAAAAATAGATAAAAATACCATTGAAACGTTTCGTAACTATCTATCACTAGTAGATTGGCATCAACTCATCAACTACAAAGACGCAAATAACGCTTACGAATATTTTAACTTAGAGTTCAGTGGTGCGTATGAAAAAGCGTTTCCTAAGCAAGAAAAAATAATTAAACTTAAAAGCTTACAAAGTCCATGGATTTCCAAAGGTCTTATCAAATCTTCCAAAAAAAAAACAAAGACTCTATGAAAAATACTTAAAAAAAATACTTAAAAAAAAAAACTTACAAAAATGTAAACAAATACAAAAATTATAAAAACCTATTTGAAAAAATAAAAAAACAAGCAAAAAAAAATTATTATTCTAATTTATTGCAAAACAATATTGGAAATAACAAAAAAACATGGGATGTTGTAAATAAAATAATAGGAAAAAAAAAGATTTACTCTGGTAATGCACTGCCTAAACGATTAAATACTAATGATAAAAACATATTTATCAGTGATAAAAAAGAAATTGCTGAAAGCTTTAAAAATTATTTTATAAACATTGGAAAGACGTTAGCAAATAAAATAACTCCAAGTAAAAAACTTTTTAAATCATACTTAAAAAAAGTAGACTTCACAATGGATATCTCCTGATGAGCTTTGGAACGCTTTTGAAACCATACAGTCCAGAAAAAGTCCTGGTCTTGATGACATAGACTCTAAAGTTGTTAAAAATGTTTATGACGTTATTGAGCATCCCCTAATGTATGTTTTTAATCTCTGATTAAAAAATGAAGTTTTTCCAGACCGCCTAAAATTAGCACGCGTAGTTCCAGTATTTAAAAGCGGAGATGACTCGACTTTATCCAACTATAGACCCATCTCCATACTCCCGTGCTTTTCAAAAATATTGGAGCGCATAATGTATAATAGACTCTTTACATACCTTCAAAATCATAACATCCTCTACAATGACCAATACGGATTTAAAAAAAGCCACTCAACTGAACATGCTGTAATAAAATTAGTTAACGAAATTTTAAGTGGCTTTGACAAAAACAAACACACCCTTGGAGTATTTATCGACCTTTCAAAGGCTTTTGATACAGTGGATCACGAAATCCTTCTATACAAACTTCATAATTATGGTATACAAAATAAAAATTTAAAATGGTTCAGTTGCTATCTAAAACACCGTAAACAAGCCTTATTTTTCAATAAAACATACACTCCCTTTGAAATCATCACATGTGGTGTTCCCCAGGGGTCTATTCTAGGACCTCTGCTTTTCCAATTTTATATAAATGACATATTTTTACCTTCCAGTATATTGAACTTCATTCTTTTTGTAGATGACACTCATGCTTTCTATACCCACTCTAACATTACTACACTTTTTAATAAAGTAAATCAGGAACTTGAAGAGTTGAGCGATTAGTTTAAAGCAAACAAACTTTCTGTCAACATTGAGAAAAGTAATTATATCTTTTTCACAAAACCTTACAATTCAGACAAACTACTATTAAAACTTTCAGATATTCTATTAGACAAAGTTAGACTAAATCGAGCGTTCTCAGTTAAATTTCTCGGGGTAATATTAGATGAACATATTAGCTGGAAAGACCACATTAATATATTAAAAAACAAAATATCTAAAAACATTGGAATTATGCATAAAACCAGATATATTTTAAATCATGCATGCCTTAAAAGTTTTTATTTTGCATATATACATAGCTATATTAACTACTGCAATATTGCCTGGGCTAGTACCTACCAATCAAAACTAGATTTAACATATAAAAAACAAAAATAGGCGTGTCGTATATTAACAAACGCAAATAAAAATGCCTTCTAAACATTTAATGAGGGAACTGAGAGTTCTTAATATCTACGAACAAAATATATATTGCATACTTCAGTTCATGTTTAAACTCAAAAATGATCTGGTCCCTGAAGTCTTTCATAACTATTTTCACCTTATTAATCACAAATATCAAACAAAATACTCTATCAAGAACTACTATATTCCGAAAACCACTTTAAGACAATCTAAATTTTCAATATCCAGCAGAGGAGCCCAATTGTGGAACTCATTTCTAACAAACAAAATAAAAACGATAAACTCATTCCAACATTTTAAATGCGTTGTAAAGCAACAGCTACAAGACCTCAACATTAATGAAACAATCTCTTATTTTTAAAATTTTTCCTTTTTTAATTAAAATTTTTTTTTCCTTCACTTTTTCTTGAAATTCTTTTATATTACTTGCTTGGTTATTTAATGAAGTTCATTGTAAAAAAAAAAAAAAAAAAAAGAAAAAAAAATCACATGTATTATAAATATTTTATTATATTTGTATTTGGTTTATATTTTATTATATTTTGTCAACGACAAAAATGGGGCAAGATGATAAGACTATTGTCTTCTACTTGTTCCAGTCATATATTTCACGGTAAAATGTTGTACAAATTTATATTAATAATGACGAAATATATATATATATAAATATAAATATCTGCAGTTTCGTCTCGTCATATGTCTGTGAAACAACCTCCTGAATTGCTTTTACGAATGTACTTTTAATAAAAAACCAGCATTAAACTAACTTTAAACCAAAAGCAATGAAAACTTTAGGTACTGATTTTTAATAAATAAAAAAAGTGTAGATAAAATATAAATATTCAATAATTGTTAAAAATTGTCTAACTGCATATTTATATGTACCAAATGCAGTCTTTTTAAATTGTCAATATAAACAAATTTTATCATGAGGTTTTGTAAAACAAATAATATTTTTAAAATACAAAATTTATCATAAGTAAATCGGTTTTTTGAATCAAAAAACATCTGGCCTTTTGGATGTTTTTCGTTTGGATGTTTTTCTCTTGTCCTAATAATAATGATACTTTGCAGTTTTTATTATTTGTATACTTTAAAATTTGTGGTTTTTATTTTACTTTATACAGATTGTAAACGAATCTAATTTTTTACTACTTTATCTAAATGTATTTTTATTATTCATAATTTACTTTTCTATTTCATTCTATACCACAATATTTTCACGATAAAATTAAATAAAAACTATTATGCGGTTTTATAACCATATTGCAACAAAGTGGTTTGCTAAACGAAAACTTTTTTTTTTTGCTCTTACATCCACCTTCCCGTCCATACTCTCACGGTTTCCAAAATCAAGTTGTAGCAAGGTGATCCCATAAAGCTAGGGTGCCATTTTTTTCAAGCATGCTCTAGACATAGTAAGCTAACAAATAAGTTGTATACATGTTTGTATGTATCTTAGATCTCGAGAAAATTTCAATCTTGTAAAAAGTTACAAATTTTGAAAAACTTTGGTTGGGTGTAGCATGCTACACGTGCACGTGTACGTGTAGCATTTTTTTTATTTATTAGTGAT